GGGTGGGATAGTGATCCAGAATTATTCCGATTACCGCTTGGAAATTTTGTCACAATTGTCGGACCAGACCACATACGATAAATTGTCTATAGACCCTACAAAGGAGGTGATGCACTGTATTGATACTTGTTTAATAAGAGGCCTACATTCCAACTATATATCTATGGAACTATACCAGTATTTACGATCCCTGGCTCCTAGAACACCTGTACTATACACGCTACCCAAAATTCATAAAAATAAGGACAGACCTCCTGGTCGACCTATTGTGTCAGCAATAGGGGGTGTCCTTGAACCTTTAGCCAAGTGGTTGGATTTTTTATTCAAGGAACCTATTGAGCATTTATCGACGTGTATAAAAGATACTCCAAGTTTTGTTAAACTCTTATCAAGGACGACATTACCTTCTGAATCGGTGGTTCTGGTGACATGTGACGTGTCAAGTTTATATACTGTGATACCTCACCAAGAAGGTATCGAAGCAATGAGATCCATATTATCCAGCTCTCTATACTACACAGGACCTCCAATTGAGTTCATATTAGAACTTTTGGAAATAGTACTCTCTCAAAACTATTTTAGGTTCGAGATGGAATGGTTTAGGCAAATTGCGGGTACTTCAATGGGTGCAGCCATGGCACCTATGTATGCCAATGGCTACATGTATTGTTATGAAACCAAACACATTTTGGAACCCTACAAGGACTACATCCTGCAATATGTCAGATACATCGATGACATCTTCATGGTATTCAAGGGTACTATCGCCGAAGCAGAAGATATGATTCGATACATCAATGGTTGTACTGATAATATTAAGTTGACGGCGGTTATGGATTCAACTTCAGTTGACTTCTTGGACATTAGAGTGTTACGCGAAGGGGCAGACTTAGCCTATACACTATATTCCAAGCCCACGGACCGTAATACTATCTTGCAGGCTAACAGTTTTCATCCACAGCCTTTGAAAAATTCTTTGCCTTACTCCCAGTTCCTGCGAGTCTTAAGGAACAATTCCAACCTGAGCCGAGCACAGGAACAATTAGGCATAATGTGGGAGAAATTTCGACAACGGGGCTATACAACTCACGTCCTAACCAAAGCACTTGATAGGTGTCGTAGTATCACCGAAACATCCATCCCTAAAATATCATCTAATAGATTGGTATTTCCTACCACTTTTTCTACAGCTTCCTCTAAGTTCAAACAAATTATTGAGGAGAATTGGAGGGTGTTAAGAAATGATGTCACATTACCTCCAATATTCCAGAATCCTCCCATGTTCTGCTACAAGAGGAATAAAAATCTGAGGGATTTACTGGTGAATACAGATCCCGTTCACTGTTATTCCAAGGAAACATCTCTACAGAATCTAGGATGTTATCGATGCCTTGGTTGTGTAACTTGTGGACATATGATCCCGGGGAAGACATTTTCCCATCCTCACACAGGGACTATTTTTCACATTCGTCATCGATTAACATGCACAAGTGACTTCGTAATTTATAAATTAACATGTCCCTGTGGATTAACATACATCGGCAAAACGGATCTTCCTTTGAGAGAAAGAATTCGTAATCATAGATCCAGTATCAGAACTGCGTACAGGGACAAGAAGTCTGAGTTACCGGTGGCCAAGCATTTTTTGGAATTGGGACACTCGTTGCCCTCTATGAAGTTGATGGCTATCGATCAAATTCCCTTGCCGAGAAGGGGAGGAGATCGAAAAAAGATGCTGCTTCAACGCGAACTATTCTGGATCAGAACGCTTCAAACCGTGTATCCCAATGGACTTAATGAAAAATATTCTTTATCTGCCTTTTTATAATTGTGTTTGATTTATTTTGCAATATGGTTTTAGTGGCCCGCCCGGGGGGTCAGCCACTTCAACCGCTGTCCAATTTATCCTTGGTTCTTGGCTGGACTAGTGTCAGTTATGTTTGTATATAGTCCTCATTAATTTTCAGTTTAGGACGGATAGTATAGCGTCACTAGGTATGTTATTATATGTGGTGCTTTGATGGTAGTGGTTTATCATCCTATATAACGACCTTTTGTTAATATGTATATTCTAGAGTAGGGATTGGATTTTGACTGTTTGATTTGTACCATAGACAGTGTATTTAGGGATCGTTAGAATAATTCCTTTATTCATTATGTCCTCTGCACTTGAGATGATATAGCCCTTTTGGACTTGGGGTTTACATTATGTTTACATTAACATTGGGGACTAGTTTCTCTATTTTTACAGTAATCTACATATTATTATAATAGATACTGTCCATATCTGCCATTAGATAGGATTCTTTTTCATTTTGGTTCGCTGGCTATATACTGTTATTTATTATTTATTGTTTATTATCCACTTAATATATGGATTTTTTTCCTTAGAAGAGTATTTAGGGGTTTCTTTGCAGAAGTCTCTTTAATTATCCCTAATCCTTTATCTTGTGTAAGTTGTCTAGTGGTATTTACATGGATCCCCAGCCATACAGTGTTTGTTTTTATGTGTTGCTAGGATGCTATTCTCCCTAGCAACATACTCCTCATGATGCCGCCGGCTGGTTGATCACGTGATGACGTCATGACGCCGGCACCATGTGATGACGTCACGAACGTCCGTCCGGATGCCGGCCGAACCCACGTGGACTCCAGACCGAGCTGACAGGGAGACCCTATGTTTGTGGTGGTGGGTAAGTTAATTACTAATCTATATTTTACTATATATTGAATATCTGTGTGTATGTGTATTAATCCTGATGAAAGTCTGCGATTAGCAGACTGAAACGTTGATTTTTTTTGCATAGTTAATTAAAAGTTAAGTTTTATATATTTTTATAGACCTAAGAGTGCTATCATATTTTTCTTTTGTATTTTGCTGGATGAGCACCGGGCACCTAAATTGCGTTTTTGATGGAGTGCAAGATCCTTCCTTTGATTGTATATATATATATATATATATATATATATATAAAAATAGTCAGTTTGCCTGCACTCCAGTAAAGTTATTAAGTAGAGCCAGGTGCTTGTCCGCATAGATATATACAGGTTTTGAAATGATAGCACTTCAAGGACTTCTCAGTGGTGAAAAAAGATAAAACTTAGCTTTTATTCAGGTCAGATGCCAATAGAATCGATCAACGTGATGTTTCAGTTCAATACATGAACTTTCATCAGGATCATATACATATATTTATCTTATTAAATACAACTATTTATACAGTTGCAATCAACATTATTAAACCCCCATTGAAAAATCAGGTTTCTTGTCAAAATTTACAGACCTTCTACTGTTTGCAATGAACAAATCAACCAAAAGCAATTGCAATAGCTCAACTCAATGAATGCTTCAAGTAGTTTATGTAAATGGAACTGAAAATGCAACTTATAATGACTTCTCTAGTCTCAACATTATTCAACTCCTTAATGGCAAGAATCTTTCGTACTTAGTAGAGCACCCTTTTGCTGTTATGACATGTACCAAATGAGATGGCTAGACACCATCTTCTGGCAGCGTTCCTGAGGAATCTTAGTCCATTGCCAAGATTCAGTTCACTAATATTCTTGGGTTTGCATGCTACAACCACCTTCTTCAAATCCCACCAGTGATTTCTATGGGGTTTAAGTCAGGTGACTGTGATGGCCACTGTGTAATTTTCCAGTACTTCTTTTACAGCCAATCCTTGTTGAAATTTGAGGTACACTTGGAATTGTCTTGTTGGAAGGTCAAATGATAAAATTTAAATGAGCGCACTTGAACTGTTCACAAAATAGATCTATAAGTAGAAAAAAACTAATATAGTGCAGACAATCTGAATTATGTAATACACAGTAGGGGGTAATCGGGAGAACTAATGCGGACCAGAGCCCTATCACCCCTGGCTCTGGGTCTGAAAAGCTCCACTGGAGA